ATCTCACTGGCAATATTCTCTCTTTTCTATAAACTATTTCTATACGAACCTTTTCTCTTTTTATCATCTTTTATCTCTCAGTCGTCGTGATCGAGTCCAACAATCGAAAAGAAAATCGTACGAAAACTTTTTACATCTACTGTATTTTCAGCCTTCGTTTCGTTCTTTTTTCACTTTTTTCTCTCTTTTATCGAGCGAAAAAAATGTCTACTAGGTGTTTGTAGGAAGAAAGAGATAAAAGAGGTAAAACCAACATTCTGTTTCTATGGTCAGAACACTGTTTTAACACCTAACTGTACACATATGGTTGGAAAATATCGAATGTTTATCCATAAATATGTTTTAAATGTTTAACAACTTTTAATAAGTATTTTATTTTCTTATCCCAGAGAAAAGGTTTTATTTGCCGAAGTAAAAGTATTCAATTTAAATTAAAAGTTGTTCTATCTTTGTATCTAAAATCGTTTATTAATCCAAAATACTCGGCAGGATGTCGGTGACAAAGTCATCTCACAAGTGAATAAACTTTACTAAGCGTCTGTTTTTACTTACTAATGAACGATTCACGACCCATCGAAACGTGATTGATGTTAACAACAATGTACAAACGATCTGTAAACGATTTTGTGATAAACTTAAGGAGAAAACAAATATCAGTTTTTCTTATTTCATGAGATTTTCCTGCGGTTTTTAGTGTGATATACAGCGAAAAATTCAACCTACTTTGGCGGCATTGAAAATGTGCAAAATGAACAAACGGTAATAAGAAATATTAAGAAAAAACCATTCCAATAGTAGTATGCTGAACGACGAGCTAAAAACAGATCAAACATTTAACTAGGTAAAATCATTTGAAGATCAGTTACAACGTTTGAGTAGATATTTCCGTAACACGACATTTCCGTGAACGACATAACAGCGAACAGGACCCCGATTCTTCCGCGAGTTTTCATAGTCCACATTTGGGCAGTACGTGGCAGGAGATGTGGGGAAAGGCAGTGTGAGAGTGAGCTGGAAAATTAGTTTCACGCAAAACATATTGTCATATGAATTTCCTTGAGCTATTCGAGTGCTTATCTGATTTGAAATTAGTTCAACATAAAGCTGCGCTGAAATTGAAATAACGGCTAGATTCACCAGTAACATCAGTTGTTTCGTTAGTTTTCTAACCTTTGGTTTCTTTAAAATCTATTTTCAAAAATTTGTGAAAGAGTCGTGACGGATCTGTAGCCACAGAAATGTCTCGTGGTAATGTCGGTTCGCGGAAATGTTGGTGTATCCGTTGACTGATATGTTAATATTTCTTCCACGAATCAATTGGTAAGCGCATATTTTCTCAGAGAAAGGTTGGTGTTGCTGAATTATATGAGTTATTGGTGCAAGCTCATCAATCAAGTTTTGCTAACGCTATTTGACTAGCCTGCATGACAGGTCACGGAGAATACTGATCGTTTTTGTTCTTCTTTAGCATGATTTTCATCTCTAAACGGATATTCTTTCGTAAATCTTGCTTGCGTTTCGACATGTTCATAGAGCATCCATTCTTGTTGATCGACGAATGCTTCGCGATTGACACCACACTGATGATATTCATCTCTGTGTAATATGACTTTATCGTTGTAATAGGATGTAGTCACCGATACGGTTAATTCTTGAACATCAGACGGAAAGTGGTGCAG